TACATCGAGTTTGTTTATGGCTTGTTTATTATACAATTAAAGTTCAATTTTCAATCGGAATTTAGATCCGTCCGCTTTTATCTCCTTGCATTGCGAGTGCAAAAATTGTATACATTCCTAATTTGCTATCTTCAGCGAATAACAGGACATCGGTACAACAGTTTTTAGATTAAAGTGTTATTTATCAAGATCGCCGACTTTCACATTTCCGTTGACACTCTTCCGCCATTAGCACAATCGATCGCGATGTCCCGAGTCGTTCTTCTGAGTCCGCACAGCTCGTTTATTATCGCGATTCGTGCAAACGACGGTCGGCGGTGCGTTGCTCATTGTTGCTGCTGGTGAGCGTGAAACTGTAAAACGCGGTTGTAAACTCGCGCGGATAAGAGTGAGCATTACTGGCGAAGGTGTCGCTTCTTCTTCGAGATCCTGTCACGGATAGTAGCTACGAGTCGCGGAAGATCTGTTTACGATACTGGCTAGTTTCTTCTGCCGCCGTTTCTTCTGTCGCTTCCACACCTCAGCGAGTCTCCTGCAGCCTCGCGCCTGATGATATCTGGCTCTTCTTCATCCAGCTTAATTTTAGTTAGTAATTCTGGTAAAGCCTTTTTTTGAAAAGCAGTTAAGAGTGATCGACGGTACGATTGCGCGAAAGGATTTAATCTGCCGCGGTGTTCTTATAGATAGTATCATGTAATTGATAATATAAATTAGAAAATGTGATTTTTTTTTTTTATAATGTTTTTATATGTGATAAAAATCAATATATTCTTTTTCCTCAGTTAAACATTTTAATTAAAAAAGAAAAAGCAAAAATTAATACACATTTCTTAACGAAAATTATAAATAATTCTTCTTATTTTCTGTCTTTTTTGTTATTGATTAATTTGATATATTTCAAGAATAAACGTCACGCAGAATTTACACAAAACAATATCATATTTGATATATCAATTTTACAATGTGTAAGTTACTGTAAAATTAAACAAATGTACTTGGAATATAACTGTTTGCAGACATCTGATCGCGTGATGAAATCGATACTTGGTTCAATCACCTTCGATCATGTTCAATCGGCCTTGAGCCAACTTGGATCGCAGGTCCCAAAAAAAAAAGAGGATCGATCCTTTATCAACTTTTTTTATCTACGTGTCAGCTATAAAGCCATTTCTGTCATCCGATGCTAATGCCAAGCGCATCCTTACAAGGCTGTGGATGCGTTTAACGTTGAAAGAAGCTGTCGCCCATGATCGTGGGAGCCGTTTGTTGCATTTCTCTCGCGCCGTGTCACGTGGTCGGTGCTTGAAGAATTCCCCGGAGACCACGGAGGCAAAACACAATTCATGTTTCTCGGATACCGAGCGCGATACTTTCGTATCGACCACTTTTCATTTTCGCGGAAGAAATAATCTTGCTCCTCTTAAAAGAGCCAAGTAATTTTATGGAAAAGAAGCACGATATTGCGATTTGTTCTAATACTGAGATAAGACGAGATGATAACGATGGAAAATCACTTTCATTGTATATTAATTAATTAATCACATTAATTTAGAATCGATAGTCTGCTTCGTTAGGCGAGATAATTAAACTATGCGTGTCATGATATAGAAACAGCAACTTCGATGACGCAGTTATTATTAGGCATGTAAAATTTTGCGATTTTGCTTTGGTACAAGCGTATTCTTAATTTCAATGACAATTTTATATCTTATTGATTATTATAATATGTTCCGAAATGTCTACGCCATTGATCGAAAGGTCGATGCGAGATGCGTCAAGTACGGTCCGTGACGTGCCTTCGTGCAAGGCTATCCAACCTCTCCTAGTATTTACACGCGTTAACTCTACCGAACGTAAACGGTGTACACCCCTTGAACCAAGTAGTCGAAGCTCTGGAACATCTTCTTAACACGATCCATATGATATCGACAGGCTCGATCACGCGATAATACGAACCATCTTACAACACGCGATAGCGTTGTTCCCGAAAATAAACAAAAATATGTTAATTAGTAGGAAAACCAGTCACATTTTTTATGGTAACAACATATTTTTGTAGTGCTAATTTTTGCTAATTAATTGCTCTATTTTTATTTTTTTGCTCCAGCCGATTCAGTAAACAAGATTATTTTCAGATCTGTATCCGGCTAAAATTTTAGATTTGCCCGCAAAAGTAATATTCTCTCTGTAATAATATCTTCATTAAACATGTAAATTCGGAAAAGACATAATTAATAATATTGATGCAACTTTTGATGCGACTTTTATGTTTGCGATCGATTTTTATGTTTGAAAAATGCGAGAATACAAAATAAGCACATAAACATAAAGGGGATTGTGAACGCACATAGTAGCGACAATCCCACTCACGTTTCCAGATCTAACTTCTGGTTTCCGTTTATTCTCCTTTAATAGTAGCCCGATGACGTTTGTTTCATACAAGTCAGACACGCATGCGGTTGTCCGTTTAAACACGCCTTATCCCTCGATCATTTTGTCGTGTGCTGGTGCGGATAAACTCTGTAGTTCTCGTATACATATCGCCCGTATAGATACCCAACACCCTCGCGAGCCGGAAGGGGGCAACCTTGAGCCAGTAATGCACTCGTGGTTTGCTTATGACCTACCCCATATGACGAGGCACGCGATGCCGATGGCGACTGGAAACCAAGAGAGAGGAGCGTGTGCGGCCAACGCAAATATTTAGCTGGTAAAAGGCGAGCAGCCTCGAGAAGAGACAGTCTCGTAATGCTTTCCCTATTCCCTTGCTCCTGTCATAACAATGTTGATGCGCAAACGTATTCCCCTGCAGCCTCAGAGTATATTGCCGTGTATACGTTCGCACATTCCACACACCGAAACCAGCCAAACGAGACGGTTGTATATTCTCGGTTGACGCTGACCATCACGTCAATATGTCGTATAATTCATAACAAGGCATTTTGCTCGCGCAAGTTAAAGATTACTTCTCGATACGTTATCGCCGATGTAACGATTTTCTAATGCCCAAAGGCGATCAGGATCCCACTCGCTTACACACACACACACACATACACACACACACACACACACACACACACACACACACACACACATCACACGTGCGCGCGCGCACGTGTCTTTGTCTACGAAGTAAAAGGGCCGGATAATTGAAGCTGACTTCTCCACGGGCCCGAATCGCTCGTTCCGGACGAAGTCCTTAGAAGGAAACAGAGCCGGTATCGCGGACATGCGATCTGTCTTTATGGTCCGAAAGTGGGCGTCGGTCCGGTCTCACAATGCCGGCGTAATACAACGACACGACGAGGACAACGACAGCGACAACGACGACAAAGACGCGGCCCGACGTCAGAATGAAGGACTCCCGTCTTGTTAAACCGCGACCGCAGTCGGAGATGCATGCGACTGCGCATTTCCACGCACGCTCGAGAAAATTATAAATACTCGCTATCTTTTTAAATAATAATTAAAATAATAGTTATCCAGTTAACAAGTGAAAGGACAAGATATTAATTAACTTTTAGTCGAAGATGCATACGATTGCGCATTTCCACGCACGCTCGAGAAAATTATTAGTACTCGCTGTCTTTTTAAATGAGGAAAATAATAGTTATCCAGTCAACAAATGAAAATTATTAGTATTTGATATTTTTTTAAGTGAAAAGATGATAATCATCTAGTGAACAAATGAAAAGATAAAGATATATTAATTAAATTTTGTCGAATTTTTAAATTAATCTCAACATCTCTGTCTTGCTCTGCTACTTTTTTTCCTCCCAATAACTTGATAATGATAAAATATATGCATATTTAATATTACGTAAAAATATTTACCTGACGAGGTACTTATCTAGAATATCACGCAACATCGTGCGCTATATAAAGATAATAATGTACGATGCGTGCACAGTATCATTCACGTGCCTAGTATTCAACGAAGCGTCTTGTAATGCAATACTCGCCTACGTGCGCGCGTTTACGATTTGCTACGCTTGTATTTTAAAATTCGTATTTGTGCCATTTATGTCCGGCAACACCGAGAGATAGCGGAGAGACTCGCGTCGTGAGGAGTATTTATACATACAACGTATGCATGGAGTATCTAACTATCGATTCATACGCTATTTTAATTTTACGCGCGAACAATGAGAAGATAATTAAGTAAGGCAAACAAAAGGGAAAGGTTAAAGGGAATAGGAAGTAGCGGCTGATTTTCATCGCTTGTTCCATTCAGATAGCGTATAAAATCGCGGTTCACGCATCTACGCGCGGACAGAAACTTCAACGTCCGCTTTCGAATGGGATGTTTTCTTGGAACAATTGCATCTGAAATAAAAAGACAGAAAGATTGACACAGTGGCGCGTCATAACAATATCGCATTCTTCTATTCGTTGCATCGATGGAAACACGAGCGGACAGGTAGGTTCTACGTGATCTCCGGCTGCTTGGAATTAATTATCCGTCGCGAAACTCCTGATCTCGGCGGGGTTTCCGACGAGCCGCGGGAGATCTGTAAATCTGACCTCTGGCATTGAACTCGCGATTTTTATCTGAGTTTACTGTAACGATGACGTGCTACGAACAGTCGTGAATGTAGACGGAATGTATACGAATTTTCCTTTTCCGCACGGGAAAAACAATTTTCCAAACAAATTTAGGCAGATACAGATCTGAAAATAATTTTGTTGGATAATAAAAACAATTACATGAGATGCTTAAGCATAATGATATCGCAAAAATTTTTTTATAGAAATTCTAGAAATTTAGGCAATTATTTCGATGATCCCACACAATTATTTTCAGATCTGTATTTGATAAAATTTTTAAATAAAGTTTCAGCAAATCCTTTCATTTCAAAAATGTTGAAGTAATCAATTATACTTAAATATTGTTGACTTAGATTAAAGTTTATAGTGCGTTCGAAAATTTTTATAATTAATTAAGCAATTTTATTTCTAGGTTTCATTTTACTAACAGCTTTGCATTTTTATACTTTCAGGTCTATCAAGTGGAGTACGTGATAGTGAAGGCCGCGAACTCGCCGAGACCCACGGCCTGGATTTTGGAGAAATCCTTGGACGGTGAAAATTTCCAGCCGTGGCAATATTACGCACCGAACGATGTGGAATGCTGGACGAGATTTTCGGTACCGTCTATTACGAACAAAACCATTCGCCTCAACGACGACGAAGTCATATGCACCAGTCAGTACTCCAGACAAACCCCCATGGAGAACGGCGAGGTGAGGACACCTTTCTCGTTTTACAAAGCTTGAAAAATGTGATCTGCCAATATCAGTTTTTTTCCTTTTATACACGACTTTTACCTTTTATGGCTGCTCCTTTAAAAAAATATTATCATTTCATGATATTAATCTTATTTTATTTCAGTGAATTTCTCGATAGTTCTTACACACTTTGTTACATTCTGAAAATAATAAACATACATAATTAAACCGGCAATAGACGTATGATTAAACTAATCGGGCACACTTTCGTATAAAATAAAGTTATTATCGGGTCGAATTTACAACAAACTTGCTAACTATAATTTGTTACTTCCTAAAGCAACGTTACGAAATCAGAAAACGCGAGAAAGAAATTACTCAACTGACACATAAAAAACTCGCAGCTGCCATTACGATCAAAATATGTTGCTGCACGTACAAATAACACAATGCATTCATCAATATTGAGTGTTGCGAGCGTTGAAAACGCAGACAATTAACCCGTACTAAAAGCACGTCGAAGAGCGTTTTTCGCGCGAGCCTTTTAACTGCCAGCCGTAAAGTAACATAACGACCTCTATCTCTAATAACCTGTTGCATACAAATGTCAGGCTGCCGATCGGCGCACCTCTCTGCTGCCCGATCGTCGAAAATGAACCGTCTTCACCTTCACTTATTCGTTACAATGATTCAAGTATTTAAATGCCAGATGTTACCAACCAGATATTACTTTTCCAGCTGTATTTTAACGAAAATAAAAGAATTTTATTCTCTTTCTCTAACTGAAGTTAAGTAGAAAATTGTTTTTACGCAAATTAAGATTGTTACATTATCCTTTTTATTTCATCTCTTCTCAATTATTTCTCTTTTGCCCTTTTTTGAAATTTTTATCGAAAGGGTTAAGCCGATATTAAAGGCGCTTACGCTAATGACGTGCCCGATGCAAGGAGCCAATGTTTATGCTCGCCGATGCATTTTTCGCAGTATTCGTTCCGCTACGAGCACGGCTAACCGTGTCATTATCAATAATCCTTGCGAAAATCCTCACGGCCGCACTCGGCGTCGTTAATTATCGTCGGTCTTATGCGGCCGCGCGTGTGCAATTACGCGATTGGATGATTAGCGGGCGCTGATTTTACTGGCAACGGGGTTGCCGGCCCGCTTGCTTCCGGTAGATCCCGTTTCTCCATCCCTCCCGCTTTTTCCTCCACGTTTTTATCTTTTTTTCGTGAAGCAGTAGTACGGAGGCGACATAAAGTCATTAATAAACGGCAAATCGGGCGCTACTTCCTCGATAAAACTATATAATGGGTGCTCCGAAATTGCTCTCTTCACGTCTTCAATATATTTCGTAACTTTCTTGTGATTTAAAAATATTTTGTTTTTTCTTTTACGTAAAGTATCCAAAATTTAACTAAATTCAAAAGTAAAAGATTTTTTTAAATTTTTAGATTCTTCTTTCAAAATTTATTGTTGGAAATAAAATTTAGTTGAAGTTTATTTTATTATATTTCTATATGTTAGATCTAATTTTTTTTAATCCTTAATCTTTGTCTCTTTTAAAAATTATTGATATTTTGATGCATTTATAAAAAATTTATTTTAAATTGAAGAAACTAAGAGTAACGGTGTAGATAAAAGATCAAAGACATCTTTGATCTACAATCATTGCGGCTTGTGCATATATATATATATATATATATATACCAACCGTTAGTTCTTAAGTAATTTCTTGTAGTAAACCGTTACGATAAATTGTGAAACATAATGATATCGGAAGCGATACATTAAGAAACAAAAGTGCGTTTCTATTATCGGCGTATTCCGAAGCATTATTGCACGAGATGTATGGCACTATTTTGCGACAGGAATAAATTTGATGCGAGTAATACATTTCTTCATGGTTGAAATTAGTAAGTCATTTCCTTCACTTGCTCTCGCTCGTATCGATTTATTTTATTTATTATTTTATTCATCGAGCTTTATTCTTAATCGTTTATCGTAAGAATATTGAGGAAATTGACGAATGTAATTCTATGCGTGAACAACATATTTATAATCACATTAATATAATTTTCTGTTTAACTACTATCAGACGTGACAAATTTTTTTCAAAGAGAGAGATTTATTCTTGTAGATATTCTTGTATAAATTTATTACAACAAATTATTTATTTGTTTTTTAATTTTTTAGTTTTTTTATTTGAAATTAAGAAAGGTTCCAAATTTTTTGTAAAATTTATTATATAGTATTTATCTTATTTTTATTATATAGTATTTAATTTATTTTTATACATCTTAATATTAACTTATTTTTATACATCTTAATATTAATTTTCTACATAAAAGATTAAAAGCTTTCTTATTTAGCGGAAACTCATTTTTAATATCTACATAAATATTTAAATTTCACTATTAATACTGCTAACACATTATTCAATAAAATAGTGTTTAATATTTCTATTTTAGAAAATACATTTCCAATATTATCTTCTCATTATCATCCTAACTATTCGTGTGAATCCTTAAACGATACTTTGGCGGCCAGACGAGGGAATAAAAGAGTGATCATCTCGCGACGGAGATCGGTCCTCAGGTTGATGAGGCTCTCCTCTTTCTCGTGGCAAAGACATCCCTTCTTGCGAAACGGCAGCGGGTGCAACGAGTTTGCCGCATGTCGGGAGATGCATTTCGACTCTCTTTCAGCCTCCTATCCTTTCCTTTTCCCCGCACGTCGTTTCTGGCTCGCGTGCAAAAGCGTAAAACTGCCAAGTTTCCCCCCTATGGAAGGTGCGTACACGATACTCCCTTATACGGCCGGACAGTGCCATACATGGCTGGAATGTAGGGACCGCCGTTTTTGTATCATTGATTTCCTCTCTCCGTTTCTCCGTTTCGTTTCTTTTCTCATCGCGATTCCGCTCGCACGAAACCGATCGCGCGTGCTCTCGTGCTCCCGAGGCACGAGCTTTAATTATCAGCCGAGCTACCGGGAATTCGTAGCGAGGTAGCATTAGCCAGTTACCTGCCCCTTATTTAACCCTTTCGATAATTTTTCCAGCGAGTAAATATTACTTTGGAATCCGCGAGTCACACTTGTGCGGAGTATTGCAGTTTCTCAGAGGTAATATTTTTTGTGGTAAAAATAGAAAGGTGAGAAGCAAGAAATGGAAATGCCAAGAAAAAGTCAGATAACTTTATTGACTTTTCGCTAACATAGACAAATAATTAAAAAGCAAGTTCGGCAATCAGCGAAAGATTGTGAGGTATCCTAAATACAAGCGATTGTCCCTTATTAGGTACCGCATGTTCTCCTTTTACGGGAACTCGCCGTTCCCTTCTCGGCACACAGCGCCATTCGCGGATGATTTACTTCTTTGCCCACGTCTCTGGAATTTAGTAGCTTCGCCCGCTGACGCTAATTGACCGTCGCTGATCGTTACACAGCCACAAAATTATGGCTTGCGTCCGAATACACTTGATTTTATTAGTATCTTTTTATTTTTAATTCTATTAAAATCAATTAATCTCAGATCATTTAAATATCATTTCTCTTTTATTGTTAATACCATTTGCAATTAACCACTTGCAAATTTTTTTTAGAAGTTATAATTTCAAAAAGAGGACCATAATTTTTTTGAATGTGGATTATAAGTTAAACTTCTTCTCTCAAGCTATTTTTTATAATATCGTGTGTATTTGACGATGAGTATTACGTATAAATTACTCGGCGGGAGATTGTTGAGGCTAACAGGAATTTTAATTGTTTACTTGAAAGATCCACACGCATTTGGTGAACGGTCGACCCGGGGCCCTCAATCACAGTACGACTCTGCAGGAATTCACCCAGGCGAGATACGTGCGGCTCCGTCTTCAGGGTCTTCGACGCAGCGGCGAGGCTTTCGCCGACAAGAGACGTGCCTTTTATTCGATAAAGGAAATCAATATCGGAGGACGTTGCATATGCTCCGGACACTCGGCTCGATGTCGATACAGCGTACATCACGGGGTAAGTGCGAGCAAACGGTCTCATCACAACAATATTTACCGATTAGAAAGAAGAGTTTAATGCTGTCTAGCAAATACAAATTTAAAACTAATTTTGTCATCACAATATAATTTGAGTTATCACAATTATATAGGACGCTGAAATTGATTGTTAGAATTGCAAAAATTTTTTGCTATTCTAACAATCAATTGTACCTTGAAGTGTCCTGCAAAATAATTTTGATGGCAACCAACAAAATTATTTCCAAGCTTATATTTTGCCAAATTTTTAGATACTTCAGCAAAACCGATCTTTTCATATAAATATCATAATACCGGCGCATATATTATAACATTTTTTTCATATTTATATGTTCATATTCATATTTCATATGTTCCGAAGATAGATGCAATATTTAAATTAATTTTTGTATTGGAACAACATAATTCGATAATATCTACATAGAATTTCTCGAATTGTATCCAATCTTGCCTTTTATTTAAAACGCTTTATATATAATCTTTTCATATAATAATCATATAATAAACTACTCGAGCCGTAGGGAAATGCGGAATTCGTCTCGTGAGAAAATTCGTGGAAAGTTTATGACACAGTTTCCGTGGTACCGAAATTGGTCGCGCTCTCGAAAGCGAACATCCAGATTCAGTTGCTTGGGAAATAAATCCGTCGAAAGTACCATAAACTTGTCAGGCCTTTGTCCGTCGACACCGCTAATGGCGAGGTCCCTTCTCGAATCGTTGCCTGCTACAAAGCCCGCAGAAACCGCCAGGAATTAAGGCTCCACTCTGCGATTGCATGGAGTGGGTGAGGCGCCATTAGTTTTTTTCGTCACCGTCAATGTTGCGGTTTCTTTTAGGTGCGTGTTCGAAATCGGCAGGAATCTCGGGATTGAAAATAGAATGATGAATCATGGTTAGAATTGTAAGAATTGCCTGTTACGTAACAAAGGATGACCCAATTATTTCCGCTTGGTTGCTCTATAGGCTAATCATTCGCTCATTAAAGCTAGTATTTATATTTAATCACGCCGTATTATGTAAAATAATTTTATCCTCGTAATAATTATTTTTTGTTAATTCTATCTAATTGATAAAATTATCTACCAAATATGATTTGGACAGTGTTACTAATTAATCATAAATACTAATTTAGATAGTAGAATATTACATAAATGTAAACATGATAGTTTAGATATAGAATGACAATTTAAAATTTCTCTAAGATTTATCTAAGAATATTTTAACTCAGATAATTTATAGCGTCATAAAATCGCAAATACTATCACATGGATATAAAGTAAGAATCAGCGGCGCATTTAATGCGAAACGCGCTACGTGAATGCGGGTCAATAGCGTGCGGAGTAAATTTACAGCAGTCACGAGATGAAATGAAAATGCAAACGCCGTGTTTTATCCCGAAGGATGATTCACGTTTAATTACGAACGCGGTACTGCAGTTTCTCAGATGGCAGAGTACGCCAGCGGAAAGACAATAGTCAACGCGGGTGATTAATTACTTTCGTCCATGGCATATTTCCTCGCGAAGCTGGAGTCTTTTTCTCTCTCTTTCTTTCTTTCCCTTGTTTCTGCAGAAACACGAATCCCTATATGTCGCTACAATCCAAGAACAGACATTCGTGCGTTCTATGCAGCCGGCTTTAACAGACAGTAATAGTTCATCGTGTCCCCTAACAATTACCAACGCTCTCGCTTGAAATTGCAAAACCCTTCCTCGAGCGGCATTTACACACGATTATGTTTGCTTTATTCTGTGCAGACGAAGTTCAGAATTTAAAAAATTGTCTGCACGACGCTCCTAAAACAGCGTCTATCCTCTCATGCTTTATTATCATTATCATCAAGAAATATTAATCATATAATAAGATTCAGAAAATGATGAAAAAATACTTTTATTTTCTTAAAAAATAAAATTTTAAACAAAATATTTATTTTATTATCAAATTTATTTATTATATATGAATATAATTCCTTTTGAATTTAATATTAAATTTGACATGAAATAAAATTTTTTATAATATGGAACATTATTCTTATCTTATCTATTATTCTTATATTATTTTAATTATAGTTAATTAAAATAATAAGACAGTATGTTAAAAGCTAGGGAAGATTAAGCTAGGATTTTTTAATTTTTGAAAAAAATTTCATTAAATCTGCTTGACAATAAGAGATATGAGCATAATACTTCGCTTTTGTATCGTTGCCAATGCGCACAACATTTCAGGAATTGGGCAAGCTTTTCGTGGATGCATAATATGATAGAACATTTATGTGCCATTCATAATGCAACGCCATGTTCAGCGACATCACCGTGGAGTGGGCATTGACCTTAACGTAGTATTTTGCTCGCGCAATTTTCACGACGTTCGTTCATCCGATACGAGTTATGTATACGCTCATTCATCAGCGTGCGTTGTTATGAATCGAAGTGAGAATTATTGAGAAAAGTGCAACAGTAGATATAACAAAGGGAACAAAAAAGAAGCGATAATTGAGAGTACGTTGAGGGGACGCGTTGGTTTCTTGTCTGTTCGTTATGGCTGATAAGAACAGACTACCGAAGTATTGTGTTATTATCAAGTCTGTATACAATGTCACTTTTGCAATTGACATTTTTTTTTATTGCCTTACCGTATCACTCGAACACCAACGTTTCAATCAACTAGAATTAATTAATCCTTTTATAGAAAATTTATTACAACTTACAAAGTCCGAAGATAAATCATGGTAAAAGCTTATTTTACTTGATTTAAAAACTCTTAAAATTTTTAGGAACAAATAAATATTCAGTCTTCTTTCGTATCAGAGAAATATTAATCTTTACCTTTTTCAATGTCTATACAATTTTTATACCTTTTTCTTTGTTGATTTAAGTAATTTACATATGTGACATAAATCCTCTAGCTTTATTGAAATTTCTGTCTGGGAAAAAATATTGGTTCTTCTATAAAAAATATATGTTCGTGTGCGAAGTCATATTATTGCACCATCAATATCCTTTCGTTAACTACTTCTATTTTCTTAAATGTATTCGCTGCATACAAATTAGAAGAGCAATTTCCATGTAAGATTTAATCGGTTATGTTCACGTAATTCTCATGCAGCATATAATTTATGATTCATAAACAAGTATATAAACGTGTCCTTGATTTATTAACATTTAAACAGTTTTTATTTCTGCGAGTTTTTTATCTATAACTCAAAAAACCGATCTTGAGTCCATTATATTTTTTTTTGTTCTAATGAAAGAAAAATTGCTTCGCGTGATGAATCGGTCAATATTCGAGATCGCCCATTCTGAGGCATCGTGATGAATCGAGGGTTTTCACGTTTTGAAGGCCGACTTGTCTCGATTCGAAAATAATGGTTCCGCAACATTACGGTCTCCGACGAAATGTAATTCAGGTTCGTTAAACGCCGCTGTGGCGAAGAATAATTGCAGAAACCGAGGCTCGATTACCGATCGTGGACGGGGTGGCTATTATCATTGGCAGTAAATAATATCGAGCACGTGTTAACGGCGGACCATTGCAATTGACCGGAATGGTCCGTTCGTTTGTCACGCCAATGATAAAGGCCACACGCGTCGCATTAACCCTCTTCCGCGTGCATTCGCGTTTTATCGGACGCGCGATGCGATATCCAGTGAAATCGGGACTCATTAATCCCGCCGCAATTTATTTTCGGCGCTAATGCCTCGCGCGATTTCTTCAACCCAATTCAATGTACGCTCTGATAATTGCGGAGTCAATTGAAGTAACTCTGGTAGAGAAAGCGAGAGAGAGAGAGAGAGAGAGAGAGAGAGAGAGAGAGAGTGTGTGTGTGTGTGTGTGTGTGTGTGTGTGTGTGTGTGTGTGTGTGTGTGTTTT